CAAACTTCTGAGACTGAACTTTGGAGGTGAGGAAAAATATCCCTTCAGATTTCACTGAGAAATTAAAAGCAAGTCTCTCATAAAGAATGGAGGCTGTGATGAAGGCAAAGTGGACACTGTAAATACTGAAATAATTGTATCATATTTAGTTGTTGGGGCATCTGCGTAATCGTCTGTTAAATATGATTTCTTCTTTTTTCCTGACACTAATAAAAATGAATAACTTGTACTGAATGGAAAGTAAATGAATGAAAGCTGGTCTCAGATAATATGTAGTGTGAATATGTAAATATGTTGTATCATGAGAAATATTTTTGCGCTGCACCTCAATCACCTTTTTGGAATTACACTTTATTTGGTGCTATATAATATTACATAACAATAATTGACTATAATGAACCACAGTCTACCTTATGTGGCATATTCATGAACTGTGATACCAACTTAGCCTCCCACATCACTCTTCTCGATCCTGTACATTAGCATTTACAAATATTCAGTTTTGAGGTGCAGGAGGGAAAAAAATATGGTCACTTTTTCTACTCAATTAAAATAATAAGACTACACTAAAACAGCTTGAAATTATTTCTGCATCTGTATTGGACTTTTTTCTCTGGACCATTGGTGCTTTTTTAACCCCACAAACTCTACAACCTGTACCCAGGGCTGGGCAATATGACAATGTAAATCGTTATTGTGATAAATCATGTCACAGTACAATACAGATACATGTTATTCTGAACATATTGCTGACCAACTGCATGTTTCATTATAAAGCGACCAAAATTAGTCTTGTTGTTGGATTTAGTGCAACATAGTATCCAAGATGTTGAATACAAATAAGTGTATTTACAGTTTTTGATTGTATTTCTTTAAAATGTAGCTCTATTCATTCTTTTTCCCTGCCTGAACTGATCAGATGTCTGAAGAAGATCAATATTGTGATATATTGTGTATTGTGAAAAAAAATTCCTTGAAGTATCACGATATTACATTTTTGCCATATTGCCCACCTTTACCTGTACCAGCAAAAATAAAGCACGGGCCGGGCGCACGGTTAAAACTTAAAACTTTAACTTTAACATATCATCACTGCTAGCACAGTGCTTAGACCAGCCTCTCTAGACCTCTGAGGACAGTTAATAACTTTGTAGTGAGTGTCATTGTGAAATAAGGAGCTCTGGGTTTTGCTCTGGGTTCTCTGATGATTTTTCAAAATCAACACCGTTGTTGCTATTACAAGGTAGTGCAAAGTTACAAGACAGTTACAAGTATCATGATACGAAAATGCACAGCGTAAGACTGACAGCCTCACCACCCCCACAACAAAACCACCAACCTTTGTAAAGTGTGGTAGTTAAATGACTTTAGCAGTAGCAGCCACAGTTTGAGTAGCTGGTGATAAAAGTGTTGCACAGTTGCAGCCTTTCTCATGCAGCTATACACACAGGAGCAAGCAGCGTTATTCAGAGGATACAGTGACATTCAGGGAAAATGTACAAAGGACAAAATGTGTCAGCCTGTCTACCACAAGAATGCAAAAGCATCAATATTCATGAACGTCATTCATTTTTTCCATTGAGAAAAACAGCTTAGACCCAGGCTTCCTTATCTGAATGAAGAAAACCAACATAGACAATGGAAAGTATATAACATTCAATTTAAGGCCATTTTTGAGAGTTTGTGTGAAATTGTTTTTGCCAAAATCTACAATTTTTTGATAGATCCTAACATATTAAACTCCGATACCTTTATTACAAGTCTGAGACGCTGGCTGTTCCATGGAGATTAAGAGCTTTTAAGAACTTTAACAGCTGTGTTGAGATAACTCAAGCGTTGAAGGTTATTCAATGATCAACATGCTTAGAAAGCGGTCCAAAACAACAAAACAACGAAACACAATAATAATAGGAGGAGCTCATAAAATGCTTAACAGGTTCATGATTTTAGTGATACGAATGAACCTTCATTGAGTTTGAAATCAGACTCATAGAGAACAACAACCAGCTTCATCCTTAGAATAACTGACCTAAAAACTTGGTTAAACACAAGAATAATAATAATAATGTTATTAAATTCATTCATATAACTATTTTTGTGCCAGAACAAAGTAAGAGTAATATAATAATATGGTAATCATGTTAATTCATTGTAATTACCATTAGGCCAGATTATGCTCAAAAAAGTGTTTATTGCCAAATTCCAACATAAAAATATGCAGAACTTTATGTGTAAATAAGTCAACTAATTCTAATTGTATTACAGTATAATGACTTAATTTAACATATCTCTCTAGAATAATGCAACTGTAAAGCAAAGTGTTACGGTTTTGGAAAATAAAGAGTAATAATAGCACCGCTATACTGACCAAATTAGACTAGCCTGTTTACAAAAATATAATGAATATGGACACTTTTTTTATTTACATTAGATCAGTCAAATCAGGTTTTATCATCAAATATGAGTTAGTTATTCTGAGCAAATCATAGTTTTTCAGAATGCTGCTTGGGTTTTACCATCTGACCTAAACTTTAAGCTAAATTTGTTATATAAATGTCATATTAAAAGTATGTGTCAGGCAAAATCAATTCCCCTATCAAGACTGTAAGACTATGAGAATTTCAAACTATGAAATCTTTTTAGTAATTTTAATCTTCTAGTCTAAGAATAGTCACATCACTACCCTGTTTTGGAAAAAAAATACTCAAAATAACTTTAGGCATGTTTCACATTAGACGTGCATTTAAGTAATTAGGTAAATAAATATATTTTACTAATGCTCTTTAAATATGTTTGCATTTTCAGACACAAAAATGAGTGTAAAGTGTAACGAGTGTAGAATTTAAACTGACCCTCACGTCAGTGGAAAACAGATGACGGTTGTTTCTCAGTCTCTGTTCGTGCAGAGAACCTCTCAGTGAAGTAAGAGCTCTCCGACTGTGTAAATCTGGTAATTAAAAAGATTTTAATTTGTTCTATAGTAAATCTGAACTCGGAAGAAAACATGCAAGGACACAGGTCTCCTTATAAATATACGAGGGAAGCCTACGAAACATCTGTTTTCCTTATTGAATCGAGTAATCACAGAGCAGAGACTCCAACTGCTGTCAGACGGCCTTTCTCCGGTGTCTGTGGTGAACGGCAGATTCATTTCGCTTCATTTCAGTTTATAACTGACAGGAGACGGAGGCTGACAAAGCACTACTGAGGCAGTGAGTTTAAACTTTGGGTGCGTAAGAACACAAAGCTGCTTCCCCAGGTGTCCTTGTGTTTGACTAGACCTGACCTTAGTGACGGTCATGATGTGGAACACAGTGTCAGGCACTGATGTGAGCCTAGGCTTCCTGTAGTGCAGCTTCATTTCACAAATAAGGGGTTTTACAATTCATGCAAAATGAAATGAATACAGTTCACAGGTGTCTAGGCCTAACTAGGTCTGTATAGCAGCTTCACTACATGGAGGGTGGGGACAGAAATCGGCTATTCACACACACACACACACACACACACACACACAGCGCTGTGCAAGTCAGAGTCCACTCTGTCATTTATGGGCATTGAGTACAAGTTATTCACATTCATGATCAGCAAAAAAAGCAGAAAACGTGTTGAGAGAAAATGACACAGAATCCTTAACAACTAAATATAATATCATTTTTTTCAGCATTTAATGTGTCGACTCTTCACCTTTATTACAACTTTCATTCTTTCAGTTTTCAAAGAAACCTGCAAGGACGTTTCAGTCTTAGACGCTGGCTGCATTTTCTGCCTCTGGTGACCCAGTGATGACGGTTACAGCTCGTCAGCCCTTTACTCCACATCTCAGATGTCCACGTTTTTTCAGTTCTCTCAGAGATAAAAGTTTGGAGACTGTTTCTCTGATGGTGACAGTTTTGGGGTCTACCAGCTCTTACACAGCTGTTAGGAGTCCCATTTTCTCTACATTGTTTAACACATTTTTAAACTCCAGTTTGGAAACTTCTTTTACCTACTTATATTCCTTTGATGTTCCCTTCTTTATGCAAATTGTTTCTTTCATATCTAATCTCCTCAGTAATACCTACTGGGGAAAAAATATGAGGAACTTGTACTTAATGGCCATTTTGACGGGAAATTAAATGAATAAGCTATGGTCTCTAACTTTTGCACAGTACACATATTAGGAGCAGCTCATCCATTTAAGCAATGAAGTACTGCTTAATGAAAAAATACAGCAAAATGATTGTTCTGTAATTGTAGCTCATTTATCAAATCTGTCTCTTTCTCTATTTAACAGGCCTAAACGTCTTCCTAAAAGTCTTAGGCATTATTATGATATCATTTCACACACACACACACACACACACACACGCACACACACACACACACACTATATATATATATATATATATATATATATATATATAAACAGATCTCGGAAGAAAACCTTGTATCTCCAAAATGGTAACTTTACAGGAGAAAGAAAAAACCTTTACTTTTAATGTAAGTCAATGGAACCAGACTTTTTTCTAAGTAATTTCAAGTTATTTCTTTTAGTCTGTTCATTATAAAAATTGCACACAGTGTAAATAGCATCAGCCATTTTCATTTTCAAATTATGTCAAAAATGGAGACGTGAGGTTTTCTTGCGACAACAGCGTTATATATAAATCCAGGATTTCCCTGCTTAAATGAATCAGCCCTTCATTAAGTGAATTCAGGTGTGATGCTGATGGAATTGAACAAATCCATGCAAGAAGTCATGAACCAGACGTGTGTTCCTCTAACTGCATTCCTTTAAACAAGATATTGACGATACTTTTAAAACAAAAAAAAATTACATTTATGTGTTTCTGTTTGTTCTTCTAATGATACATAATACTTTTTTCTGTCGGCTGCCTAAGACTGTATTCAGTACTGTATGTTCCAACAATTTATATGATGTGTTTTTTTTAAAATGTCACTTTGAGGGCAGTTTTTATTGGTTTGGATGTTTAAAAAAAAGAATCAAATACACACCATTTAAAACAAAATGTCTCTTTAATTTGTAAGTGTCAACAGCAGTACAAAAGATGGAGTGATGGTGAGACGATTTTCTTGTTGTGTGTGTGTGTGTGTGTGTGTGTGTGTGTGTGTGTGTGTGTGCGTGTCGGTGTGTATGTCCGGGTGTGTGTGTATGCACGTGTGTACTCTATTCTTACGGAAAAAGAGGAAACTCTTGAGGTAAATGAGCAATAACAGGCAGGAACTCCCTCTTCTGCCATTGTACATCAATGGATTGAGTATACTGTAGAAATGGTGTTACATTACAATATGCCAAAACGCCTCCTGTGGGGAGAACAACCTAGATAATCGTACAATCCACTAAGGTGCCTAAATACACCAAAATGTGTCACTCATCTGGTATATTTTACTTATATTAATTAATACTACCATTACAGAGAAGACTCGTCTCTGAACATACAACTGTAGAATTAATTTACCTTTAGTTTACCTCACGTCAATACTGCACATGGAAACCAAGAAGTTGCTGGTTTACATACTGAAGCCAAGCAAAAAATATTTTTAGTACCTTTTTTGTCTTTTTTTTTAACAATAATATCCTTAGCAAATAGCTGTCCTTTGTACTGTATAAAGAAGAATGTGAACACAAATGTGATGGCAACCTTTTTAAGTTCAATTAAAAACTTTACACTGGACTGTACAAGATATGATAAACTATTTACATTTTTAGACTTATTTTTTTTTCTTTTTCAAAGCAGCAACAGACACTATTTCTATATCTCTAACGCCCGAACAATACCTGCCATGGGCCTAGGTACCTGCCGAGAAACCGGTCTCTACGCAAAAAAAACAAAAAAAAAAATGAACCAAAAAAAAGCAAACACCCACAAACAAATAAAAAAAAATCAGGCTGCCAGCGGGATTCAAAATAAGAGCGGCCCTAGCGACAGAGGAGCCACGCACAGTGTTGCTTGAGAGACTAGAAAATCTACAAAGCAAGAGTACCATTGACAACAGCATTAAAGTTGTCCCTGACAGCAAACTTTTACTCTTCTGAACAGCAGCTAGCATGTCAGTCCAGCATGTCAGTGAATTGTGCTGATTAAATTAACAAAGAACAATCCCACAATATACATCACAAAAGTCCAATGACAGAAAAAAAGAATTACAGTAAGATAAGTAGAAACACCAAACATACTTTGTCTTCAGTTGTTGTACCTACATGGTTTTCAAATGGCAGTGAAAATTATGAATTTAAAACAAAAACGTAATACGGACCACTGCTGCTGCTGGCAGGCATTCTGGGACAGGGTGTTGTTTTTTTTTTTTAACACTAAAAAGTAACAAAGAGACTGTATGAAGACCTTAAATGCACAGAATTGTTATGCATTATTCAGCAATAAATATTTGTTCATCCCCAAACTTGGAGCTCACCAAGAACCTCACTTCTGTTTTCACATGATGCTGGATTTGAAACTGTGATGTGTCTTTTAAATACAATATGTGATTTAGTGAGTATCTGGTTAATTAAAATGATCGCAGGCGTTTGAACTTATTTATCAAACAGAAGACTGAGCTCAATCTGTGATTTTCTCTATGCTCAGCATAAACGACTGAACGTACTCAAAGGGGTGCGCCAGCACGTAACACAGGGGTTTTGACTGACTCATCACAGGGCGTCATCACTGAAACACAGCCAAGTGAGGTGCCTGGGTGTCTAAGCTGCATCCAACACTGTTCGATCGACAGGGACGTCAGTTCAGCATCTACATGAGGTACAGTGACTTGTCAGTTTTGTTTTGTCTTTTTTCAAAAATGACCAACATACACAAACACGAAAGAAATCAAGAACAGTCAAATACATAAATTATACTTCAGTAAGTATCCATGAACAAAAATAGAATTCTATTTTCCTATGTTGTATTTACAATTAAAAAAAAAACTGATGAGATGGTGAATTTATCCAAAATGAACAAACAACAACAACAACAAAAAAAAAGCATCACAAGAAACTTTTGTTTTGAGTTCCAATTCAGGTTCAGATCTCACTGCTTTTTTTTATTCTTTTTCTCTGATTGTCCTTTTATCATGTTGTACTGACACTTTTAGAGCCAACAATGGCTAATAAATACAATAAAATGTCTATATGCACTATATAGGTTCAAATACAACATACAACACAAACGTACATGACCGATAAGATGCGCTATTGAAGTCCGGCGTGTCTCGGCTGACCAGTCTCTACGCGAGCCTTCTGTCGAGTATACTGCTCTTTTCTCCCTCAGGCAGCACTGGAGCTTAAACAAAGTGTTCATTCATCACGTGTCTTTGCATAAATAAACAAAATAAGTTGAGAGAAAAATGACTCAAATCTGGCAACCGTGGACCGTGCCCACATGAGTCCAAACAGGTCACTTTTGTTCGTGTAGGTTTTTTTTTTTCTCGCACGACGGCTTCACATTAGTCAGAATTGATAAAAATACCATTTATATCCAGTGCTTGTAACACTTATGAAGCATTGTCTCTGTGTGAGATTGACGTTGTCTCTTTTTTTTCTCTTTTTTCCCCCCCCAAATATACAAGCGCAATCAAGTTTCAGTCCCGACAACAGTCCTTTTTCATCAACCACCAGCCTAAAGAATTGGTTTGGCATGGTCAAGAAAATATGTACAAAACACGTACGAGTCAACCAATCTACCAGCAAACAGATAGAACAGCTTTAAACAAGACATGTTGGCCTATGAAAAGAAAAGAAAATCAGCATACTGAGGGGAAACCCTACCAAGCATTGTACCTTATGAAAGAATCACAACAAGCACTAAAAATAATATAAAACCAAACAATTAGAGAAGTGCTCAAAACTTCTAAGACTTGAAGTAAATGCTTTTTGATTTCAGGGCTAAAATATAATAGTCAATGCCTCAAAATGCTGAGAGAAATAAGCGCTATCAGTACCTTTTTGACCTTTCAGAGGCAACGCAGTGACCACCAGCCCCAGCCCTGGTGTGTGGGACCGGTGCTGGCCATTTCCATCTATCCTAATCGCTGGGTTACTGATGGGGAAAAAAAGACAGGTTCAAGGGCAAGGGGAAAATAGCAGGCATCATGCATTAATAATGCCGCGTTTCAGATGATACCGACTCGTCAGTCATTTTAATAATCCCCCACAGCTTGATCTACTTGTTCCATCTGCTCGCCAGCACCTCGTGGCTGCTCCTGGCTGCAGCCTCTTTCTGCTCCACTTTGATGGAGAGAGCACAATAAACTGTCAAGGCCCCCCCTCCCCATTGTTCGGTCGCCTCTCCTGTGCACGGACCTGTGGCGGAAGCCAGATGGCAGCCTCTTGAGGCAGACCGGCCACTGGGCAGAGGTGAGGTGAGGGCAGTGGAGAGATGGAGGTGGGCAGAGCTCCCCGCTCCACGGGGGCTCACCGCTGGGCCACGGCCTCAAACAAGAGGTCCTGACCGCTGGCCGCCTCTTGGCCGTCCTTCCGCACCAGCAACGACACCGGCTCTGTTTTACGGATGGAAACCACGGCGTGGCTCACCGAGAGCGGAGAGCTGCCTGCTTTAACAAAAAACATCAAAGCCAAATTTTGGATCCCTGCTCTCGCGAGGGGTATCTGAGTTCAAGATTTTTTCCCCTTTCCTAACACAGAGGTTCGCAGTCTTCTCCTAATATTCTTGTAATTGTTAAAGCAGTCAAGGAAATAAATATATAATCACTGTTGTTGGAGCAAAACCTCGTATCTCCAAAACGGTAACTTTACAGGAGAAGGAAAAAACCTACTTCAATTTTAATGTAAGTTTTTTCCAAGGGCCGTTTTGGGCCGTTTCTTTTAGTCCATTCATCATGAAATTTAATGTAAAGGACAACAGGCATTTTCAAATTATGTGGAGATATGATTGGTATGGTTTTGTTCCGACAACAGCGATATGTTTATATTTTTTAAAAACTGTGGTTAGATGGTGTATATAAAATTCATTTTAGTCTCCTTAGCCTGCCCTCAACAAAACTGGCCTGAATCATCCAGACAAACTGGTGTTTTTTCCTTAAGACTTATTTATGAACACATTGCACGAAGCACGCTCTGCTTTAAGACTTTCTTGTGTCGATTAAGGTTTACAATGTTCAAAAGACTTTAGCCTCAGTAAAGGCCTTTAAGGACTTCAGCCCGGGGGGAAAAAAAGGAGCCTAAGGATTCAAACAGAATGCGCCTGTACATATTGTACAACAGCAATTTGTGATTGTAATGCCACCAAAGCTGCCTTTTGCTGCCTTTCCAATTTCCCAGATTGGATGCCTTTGGCCCCTTGGCATGCTGGCCAGATTACAATCACTCTGATTAAGAACTTAGTGGGTAAGACTGAACCAGAGGGCAGAGGGATGAAGGAGGCTGGGTGATCACTGTGTTGGACCTCCGAGATCAACGGTGGAACTCGTGAGCAAGGTCTTAAAGACCTTCTCATTAAAGTCCAGCATCTGACGCTGCCTCTAAATTCCTGAGTACTTCGCTATGGTAGTCAATGAAGAGGGAAAGAAGCGATTGGGTTTTCGAGTTTGATAAGATTGCAAAGGATTGTCTAAGACTCATGCAGTCTCCTCCTTAAGACTTTAAAATTTAAGATTACACTAGAGGGAAGCTTATGAAATGTTTGGCATGACTGTTCTTTAAAAAAACAAAAACAAATAATAATAATAATAATAATAATAATAATAATACTAAAAACAATATAAGTGGGAGTTTGTGTAAGGACTTGATTTGATTTGTATTACCAAATTTGAAATGAAGTTTTGCTGTCGTTCTGGTTTCAAATAGTTCAAATGAAAAACATTCACAAGCTGTTGGCTGGCACAGCATACCTGAGAGAAATATAGAACCCCATCAAAAAAAACAAACAAACAAACAAAAAAAAAATCCATAAGAAAAATGGAAAAATGTAAGACTGTGAGAGCTATAATTTCATATCAAAGGTTTCAATTTTCAAGTCCTGTCCTCCCTATTTTTTTTTGCAGGCAGTAATCCTAATTTGTTTAAATGTCCATAATTAAAACACAAGTTAAAATAAGATAAGAATAAAAAAAGCCAAAATAAAACACAATCAAACTGCTTCACACTTGAAGAAACACTTAAGACCAAATAGCTGTTGAATCTGTGGGAGCCACATGTGCATGCAGGCTCCTAAAGGATATATTATCAGAAACAAGTTTTTTTCCTCTCTCTCACTCTTTAATTTGTTCTGTAGTTTTTTTTTTATTATTATTATTATTATTCTCCTTCAGTAACTCCCTTGCTCCAGTAAAAGGATGTTTTCTGCTGGGAGAAGAAGCCTCAATTGGCGCTGACGGGCTCCTGTGTCTCATTCTCACTGCTGTAGTCCGATTTGGGCTCGTCCTCAAAGTCCTCGTACATGTCCATCTCGTCCTCTCCGTTGACTGGGTCGTTGGCCACCATGGTGCCTGGCTCCATCTTCATGCTAAAGGTGCTCTGGATGACAGGGATGGCGGGCTCGGGGCTGGCCGAGTTGCTGGAGCAGTCCGAGGTCATATGGGGCGAGGGCGTGGTGGTTGCCATGGTTATGGCGCCAGGGTAGACCACACCTGCGCTGGTGGTGATGGGGAGCTGAGTCTGTGGCTGCTGCCTGAGACCGTAGCGAAAGAGAGAGAGAAAGAGAGAGAGAGAGAGAGAGGACACATGAGGCAGAGATTTACAGTTACAGAGCGCCATCTGAGACCTAGCCGCCGCTAATGATACGCACTGAACCTTAAGAGGTTTCGGCAGAAGGATGACAAGTTTAACACCCATAAAGGAAAACAATTACGGGCGAGGGGAATTTGAGAATGGAAAGAATGTTCAGTAGCACACGCAACAGTGGTCTCTCCTTAAACGTCTTCTATTTCAGCACTTAGATTGAAACCCCTGGCTTAACTGCTCTCTTCAGGGCTACACTTTGCAGCCAGCAGATCTGCAAAAAAGATCTCGGATTAGTTACGACGGAACAGTTTCGGGAATAATTGCGAAAACGACGCTCGTTCCGTGTTGGGCGACACAGGCAATTGCTGCTGGAGAGGTAAGCCCTGATCTAAAGTGGACTGATTGATACTCCAGCTCTCGTATTTCTTGTGGGTGAAGTGGGAACACCTGGAGTGGGCTTCCCCTTTTGCTGACCACACTGTAGTAAATTACAGAGCCAAGCCTCCAGACAGCTGCCCCGCAACACTTTTCGTGTTCATACTTAACTTTAATATCCTGCTATTGTCCCAATTTGACAAATCATCACTATTAAATAACCGAGATAAAATGTAATTTCTTCAGCTGGATTCAAGGTCATGTTTAACAGCTTCTTTCCCTGCAAGAAAGAGAACGAAAAAAAATTATCCCTACTCTTACTAACGTGCGTAATCGCTATAGCCTGAACACACAACGGAAAAAAAGCCTGGTTGTTTGCTTTAAAAGGTTGTTCATTAAAATTAAGTGCACGGGCCATATAACATAGCAGACATGGCTTAACGAGCTACAATGGTATATTACTCCAGTCAAGCTGAATAGAGGGGTCACGGGCACGGTGTGGAGAGCCGGCACACGGTACATTGCTAGACCCTGGCAGTTTGGTTCACCTCTCTGCTTAGCCTACACCAGGTGTTTAACACCAGGTGTGTGGAGAACAGCTGCCTGCTCTATTTGACTGGACCCTGGACCCCTAATCTTGGTGTTCTTCACTGTGCACCTACCCCATGGTAAAGAACTGCCGCATTTCCTGCCTCCGCGAGCGCATCATCTGCTTGTACTCGCCTATGCGCAGCTTCTTCCCGTCGATGATGCAGGTGCGCTTGGGCCGCGGCTTGTACTTGTAGTTGGGGTACTTCTCCAGGTGGATCTTGCTCAGGCGAGCCTGCTCCTCGTAGTAGGGCTGCTTCTCCTGGTTTGACATGGCCTTCCAACGAGAGCCTGCGCACATAAAATGATAAAGAGTGAGGACAGAGGTCATGAATGAAACTTCTGTCAGCAAATATCCTCATTCGGAGTGAGAATTATACAGTAAATTTACCACATGGATGAAACCTAAATGTTTCCTAAGAGCATAATTTCTAGCAGCGGCTCTGCAAAACTTAGGCTTGCATTTTCATCTTTGAAGTGATCCATGTTTTCATATTACTGGCTTTAAACAACCGTGCTGAATTGTCCCAGTGTGCGGGAAGCTTGGGCTCAGGTCGCCTGATGCTGCTGCTGCATTAGCGAAACAACGGGCCAGTAAATATCTCCAGCCTTCAGTGTGTCCTGGCTGACGGGACTTTTAGTAGTCGTGATCTATTGACTCTCAGCACTGTGGGACGAGACTCATTTAGCCCCGTCATTTTTCATGACAAACACTGGGCCATGTGAAGGCTCCTATAAATCCATCTGATTGAGCCACTCCAACAGCGGCACCACTCCGCTGATTCAGACCGCGCTCGCCTGGATAAGGTACGCAGAGCTAAGCTGGGATCAAGGAACTGTTTAAAAAAAGAACATGTTCACACATATTCATACAAAATTAACGTAAAATTTTTGATCACGTGAAACAAAGTTCAGTAAAAGGTTCAGTTGGCATTCTGTTTTTGTTCATGTTCTGTGCAGCGCCTGATTGTAGCTTCAGTTTGGCTAGATCGAAATCATGTTCTCGCTTTCTCTGTAAACAGTCTACAGTAATTCAGTTTGGCCTCCGTCTTAAACAGTGAACTGTTTCAGTAGCTTGGTCCTGCCAGTCGCTTCATTGGCCTTAACAGAGTTTCACTGTTCCATGAATGCCGTCTTGTTTCCTCTTGTTACCGGAGTATGTTAAATACTAGACGTTTATCACTATTGCCAATATCCAAACAGTATAGTGCTTATGAATAACAGAGACGTATCACAAATATAGAAGAGAGCATTACTAAAATTTGCTGTGCACACCCTTGTTACACAAGACAAAGCCTTCATTATGACGCTCTTAACAAATATTTACACTACCGTCTGTAACTCAGGAACTATTCCAAAGGAGAGGAAAGTCGTTCAAGTATGCCGAACGCTCTTTAAATGACTATGCTAACAACGCTTTTGAGTTAAAGTGATCCAATACAAGCAAAGAACGTTTTTCAGCAAGTTCTAACCGCATTTACAATAGTTCCCTGGACACCACTGTACAGACCCCATGCTGGACTTCAGTTATTCTTGTGGAACGTGGTGTCATCCAAAACGAACACAGACGGCCTAGTGCAGACACGGCCGCGGCCGCTGCGCATGTTTCATCTGAAGGTCTTTTTAGACTTACCCAGAATTTTGCTGATGTTGGAGTTGTGCATGTCTGGGAAGGCCTGCAGGATTTTGCGACGCTCATCTTTGGCCCACACCATGAAGGCGTTCATGGGTCGCTTGATGTGCGGCTCGTTGGGGTTCCTTCCACGGGATTCCCTGAAGACCCGGGCCTCGGTGGTGCTGGCGCCTCCTGTTGGCCAACAGTAATATGGATGTGGTTTATCTGCAGAGCCATTGAGTTCCTTACTCCCTGGGAACACCAGAGCAAGAAGAAGGAGAGCGAGCGCAGTCCATTAATCAACTTAGCACGGCAGAAGAGTCATCAGCACATCACTGTGACTGGAGCTGGACCAGAGAGTGGGCTCAGAGAGCACCAGGGGGGCATACTTTATCCCCTGCCCATCACTAAGCCAGACAAACCCATGTATTAGAGGGCAGAACAAGGAGGCTTTGTGGGTCACAGAGCTCCTGCTTTAACTAACCTAAGCCCAGAAGAAGAGGTCCTTGATTTAAATGCCTGTTAAATATTTTGTCTGGGTCTTAACATGCTTTTCTATATCGCTATATTCAGAACCCCATACATCTGTGGTCAACGGCTGCAGTGTTTCTCCTTCCTCAGGTAATAAAGTCTGTCTAAATAACGAATATGGCATGTAAGTGTTTCGGAATTGGAGCCGGCGGCTGCAGCCAGAATTCCAACAAAGTATACATCTTTAAAATGGCCATTTGAAACTCACAACACACTGTACGACGTGTGCGTGTGGGTGATGTGAGGGCTGACAGACTGCGATGGAGTAAGCAGCCTCTCAATCAGGCCACTCACAATCAGTGAGCGAGCCCCCAGTTTCTGTATTTCATTTACAGCAGAGCGAAAATGATTTCTGCTTGCATGCGCATTTGCTCCCTTTTATATGTAAGATGTGAAAGAATTAAATAAAAGCTGTATGAATATTTAAACAAACAAAAACATGTTGATAAACAAGGCCTGAAAAATAAAACAAACCAAAAAGGGCTTTCCATATGCTAAGATACATCTTTAATGATCCAAAAACTGGAAAAGAAGGCTCGGAATGAGGCATGAATATTTTATCATCCACATGTGATGCGTATTCATTAGGAACCCGCATCTTGCGTGTCTTGGCAAGCGTCACCTGGTTTTGATTTCTATTCTTACTGCGGTTGCTAAGAAAAAAGAAATCTCTTAATGAGTAATGGAGTTTGGCACTGTGAAGATATTAAAGTGTAATATTCGGCGCACTCTGAGACCAGCGCACTGCTAAAACAAGTAGTTCAAGGAGGGGCATTGAAAGAGGCCACCGAGGATCTTCCTTTTATCTGAAACTTGTACCCTGTATGGGGCGCACACACATAGATAAGACACGCTGGTAGTCTTGAGGAGGCTGAGGCTCGGGGTCCGAGCAGCCAGCAGGAGGCTCTATTCCAGGCTGAGGCTTCTCTCAGGGCTTGCAGATCCAACTTCAACCAGCTAATGTTTACCAATCAAACCTACTTTCCAGTAAAGGATCCAGTAAAGTGCTTTCTTTTTTTATCTAGCCAACCAGTACGATTTGCTTAACGCTTGGTCATGGTGCATCAGTCAGGGGCCGCAGGCTTAACACGCTGTCAGCTGCTGCGCTATCAGCCATCTGAGAAGCAAAAAACCGTTATCAGCTTCCGCGGTATACAGTATCTACCTCTCTCTCCCTCCTCTCACTCTCTCTCTCGCTCTGATCCACCCTCATTAGTCACGGCCAGAAGCAGCGCCGCCCCAGCCCCCTTACATCTGTCTGCCCCAAAACTACACAGCGCAAACATGGGCTTACTTTGTACCACAACGTATGCTACAGCTACACTGGCTGCCTCTACGAACAAAACCGAGAAAACGGAGGAAAAAAGCCTCTTGCCATCTCGACCGGCCACGAGGATAATACACTGGCTCCCCCACAGTACATTAATTTCATTTAGCACGCGCTCACTGTGCAGGATAAATTGATTTCACTTTGTTTGGTTTTGACAGCCATGTTTATTGTGCAATGAAATGTAGTGTGGCGTGGGGCTGACAGTATCCATCAACGCGGGGCAATCTGCTGACTGCCGGGGCCAGATGAAGGCATTCATTACCCCACCAGCTCGGTGCGCCCCTCTCCTTCTTCTCCCCGGCTCTGGCTCTTTCAGCATCCACTGGCGGGGGGGAGAGAGATGGCTGCCTCTAATTTATGACGTTCCCTGCCAATGTCATTACTTTACCACTGACACTGATTCAGCAATTTATATACTGGCATGCATGTCGATATGGGCAGAGGTGAACGGCTTATGAGTGCCGGCGCTCATACTGGGGAAACATGACAACGTGTGCTACTAGCAGCGAAAGAGAAAATAGTCCTCGCTGCTGCATTTCGTTTGCTTGTAGAGGCTCTTGGAGATGAGTTCTGAGGGTCTGGTGATACTCAAGCTAGCAAATTAGTTTGTAGTAATTTCTAGGCTTCATTTTTAGTTTCTAGTAATGACTAAATAATACATTTTTACAGTTAATAGCTGAAAATTAAGCCTGTACTTTTAAGGGATTAACTAGGGATGGCCCAAATAATTTAAACACTCCAGTATTATTTTGTTATGTTTAAAGTAATTTCCTTATATAGGATTCAGAAGCTCCTTAAAGCTTAAACAAAGAGATACTGCCAAACACATTAACTCATTTAGCTACAGTTTTGACTGTTAAACAACATTTAGGTGAAGAAGCTGAACATGTCCTCAGTCACTCATTTACCTGCTGTGGGGCTGCGAGACGGAGATAAACATATATACCAATACTGGGTAAATTTATATGAGTTTAGTATAAAACAAGGTTTCAATCCTGAATGAGATGAATGTTGACCAATCAAAGTTATTTAACTTATTATGGATTTGAACTCGGGCCGCTAGGTTAACAGTAGCAGATGAGCTTAGCTTTTCATTCAGCTAAACTGATACAGCCGAACAAAGAATCTCCTTATCTGACATAACGTTGCAGCACATCTGCCTCTCTATAATCTGGGATTTCAGTCATAACAAGGGACTGTACAACACTAAACCAATTAAACACACTTAAATTTATTTATTTATTTAAATTTATTATGAAATATAAACATTGTTTTTAAGCGTAGTATTGAGGAGGAGTATTTGAGTACCAACAAGTATATGAAGCTATTAAAATGCTGTTCAGGACAGCCCTAGGGTCAGTGCTTAGAAGTCATGTTACTTCCATTTTACTACGAAATTTAAAACTAATTATGTAATTACATTATGTTACATTACATTATTTTACATTATGAACTGACAGGTTCTTGTTTATGCTTTTCACTTTTAAAATTAACATTTGAATTCATAATAAAATGCCTCCTAATATCGTCTGCTTACAAACACAAATGTGGTATTAAAGCTTAGAATCTGCACTTTCAGAAGAATTTCTCTGCTTGTTCATTGAGCTATGAGTGAGAAATAATAAATACCAGACTACAGCTTGCTTTTGTTATCAGTAAGGTTAACCCCCTCCACTCTGCGCACTGGTACTCTGAAAGGACAGCCCCACTATCTGACACGGGTGGTCTCCAACAACCCAAACTTTCCTGCCTCGTCACACTCACAATCGCGCCTTAATCAGAAGCAGCCAAGGAGCTGGCAGCCGGGTCAGACCCACAGAGCGTCACTCTGCGTCTACAACACGCAGTTTACTGTTACCTGCCATTGTTTTCTGTTGTTATTGTTTAGTAAAAGAGAAGAGGCACACCTCTGACATCTACAAATTAGCATTAATTGATTTTTCTTCCCGGCCGACATTTTAAAGAATTAGCTAGTTAGGCGCGTGATTGTGTAAATAAATACAGATGTTCAGAGATGCCGTGGGGAGAACCCCTGGAGTGTGCAGTGAGGAGAGAAGCTGTTGGGGGGGGCTGATTTCTAATAGGCTTTACTTTGATTTATGAAGCACTGTGCTCTAAGTGGTAGAGCAACGCTAGAATCACCATTTCATTTTTCTGTTTGGGTGAACACAAGGGACAGCAAAGTGCGGACTGAGTGAGCTACACACACACGCAGAGAGAAAGAGAGAGAGAGAGAGAGAGAGGGGGAGAGAAAGAGAGAGTGAGAGAGAGCAAAAGAAAGACAAGAGCCCAGCGGCCCAGCACACACCTGTCTGCAGCAGGCCTGGACCTGACAGAGTGTGGAACAGAGCCAACAGGTTCAGCCTCTTCGCTGAGGGCCGTTCTTTTGTTTAGAGGGTACAAGCACACACACACACACACACACACACACACACACACACACACACACACACACACACACACACGGACTGTCGTACATGAATCCGCTCTCAATGCTTCACTCTGCTGAACGAGCAACAATCACGCGAACCTGCCGGGCCTTCTGCGCTGGATCCAATCAGAAAAAGAAACGCCTCTCCATAAAGATATTTGAGCAGGCACAATGGAGGCTCTGGAGGATCAGCAGCGGCTTAATGCGCACAGCCAGATACAGGCCACAATACTCAGCTCCCCATTCACAGAACTGCTCATATTCTGCTAATTAAACCATTACAAAATACATGTGATCTAAGCCCCCTACTTCAACATGCCAGTCTCGTATTTTTTTTTCTTTTCTTCCAGCTGGATGCTTGGAATTCTGCAGCATGTGTGCATGTGAGAGCAAGTGCATGGGGACAAATGCTTAGCGTGTTACGACTTGCTTCTGCCAACTATTATTTCTGTCTTGCGTCTCACCTTGGATGTCAACGCAGCTTTTTGAAGTGGGGGCAATGCTAAATTCCTTTTCACATTTCACCATTTCACGGAGAATCAATAAAAGGGGACCTGGCCTGGCTTGTGTCCTCCTCTAAACTGAAAACAAAACCAGAGATCTGAGATCCAGCAGTGGGAATGCTGAGGACGCATACACACAGGAATACCCATCCTCTGTTTTGTCTGATAAATTCAATTAAACTAAAACGTCTTACAAACTGGCAAATCTTAACATCATCTTCCAAAAAAGTAGATTTATGAGATATTTATTTTCCTTGTCATTTAATAGAGACCTAAAACTGACAACACCTATGTAAACAATTAAAGTTTTGGTGCTTTTAATGTCTCTCATCACAAAAAAAGAGCTGTAGACTGGTAAATTCCCATGATGCGTTTTCTTTTACAGAAGCAGAAAGAAACAATAATAACTCAAAATAAATGTCTCGTAATAAGGCAATGACAGCCGTCAGCTACCACACTAAACTAATAAATAATTAAAACAACACGGTCCAGGCCTGTTTCAATTGACTGCATGTTATGGAGTCAGCTGGCAGTTTCTGCTTAACCAGTCGCTCCCTGTTTTCATTTTGGCTGATACTGTCACAAAAGTGGGCTTGGATTACCCTGGTTTCCTGCCCTATGGAATCCCTCAACACCCCCTTTGTTCTGCCAAGACCTCTGTCTGACAGAGGCAGCACGAACAACTGTGCGACCCAAAGCGAGTCATATGCCGCCATATGTGAATGAACAAAGGGCCCATGCTGAAGCCCATTGCGGTATTTGTTAATGTTTTTCATCTGAGCTTAAAAAGACCTAATGACTCTGTGGCGGGCTGATGCATGTGGCTCGCGGCTTTTTCGCAAAATGAAGGAAATTCTATCTATTTCCATACCCTGGCCGCTATTTTCCAGCGTTCCTCCTCTCGTTAGAGCTTTGGCAGCTGTTAATTTGGTTGCCTGCATGCTTCGCAAATATTAGTTTAAGCAACCTAAAGCTTTCTGCACTTTATGGCGACGACAGAGGGCCGCTTTACGCCCCCGGGACCCTTTTTCAATGCAACGCTTCTTTCTTGCAGGCCAGGCCTCGACACACTGAAGCGCTCTGCTGTTATGGGTGTAGCGAGATTCGCTCAGTAATTTTCCTCTGGTTAGAAAAGCAGTGACTGTACGTTCCCCCCAGCTATGTTATGTCACACCCAAGCGGGTCGTAACGGAATCGAATTCTCTGGGAGTCGGTGGCTGGTCATTTGATAAATCATTTGATATCCACAACGTGAACTCCAACCTGAAGATGCCTGGTCAAGTGTCCCGCCACTGTTACCAATACTTCCAAATAAGGTAAATTAATTAACTCATAATAACAACAATCCCACGTTCCTTCCCATTTGTCCCCTGCTAAGTGAAACTCTGAGCTTACATTCTTTTAGGAGGAGTGGAATTTGTTTGGTTTGGTTCATCAGAAAGGTTCCAAACACACGAACACCAAAGTAAACAAACTCCATGTTTCCCTGCACATAAACAAGTTTCGGTTGTAAAAAGAGACTTTTTAATGTGGGGAGCATCACTATAAAGTGGCGTTCGCATCTCTTCGTGTGTTTTGGCTATGAGGGGCTGGGTGAGGAGATGAAATGGGGAGAGCCCTGGTGAGCTCAGAGCCCTGGCCATCCACCCTCTCCTCCTGGGAACAGGAACCCTCCGTAGCCTCTGTCTGCCCGCCACTAATCCTGTCCCAGATGGGAACTTGCCGTAAACAGGCGCTTGCCTTCGCCTTTCCCTCGCCCCCTCGTCCACATTAAATGCTCGCTGCCTGCCGTGCCCCCCAAATCTGTTCCTGACTCCATCTGAGCTCACAGAAGAAGAGTTCCAACCCAGAGAAGAATCTGTGGCCCTGGATGTCCAGAGACATGAGGGTGGGACAGTCCAGCTAACAGAGAAAATCCCAACAGGACAAAAATGCTGCCATTTGTTTTGGATCCAGTCACTGTAAATTGCTTAATTAACCCTTAGAAGTTATTAGTCATGTTGCTGTAGTATTTACATGTAACATAACTATAAAAATTAATAAATAGTTATAATTGTTTTCAATATTATACATTTTCTTTTGATTTAATCGACAGGTTTGTGTGTGTTTATAACGTTCTGTTTGTTTCAGACCAAATCATGACAAAAATGTAAACAATGTTCTTTTTTTTCTTTCTATAAACCAAGACTGTATGCACAACAGTAACTTTTCATCAAATTCAAATCATAATAAAATATTTCCTTTTGTACATAAAACACAAATTTGGTATTGACTGAAAGCTCTGTGAATAATAATAAACATAAAATGATGAAATGCTTTCGCTACAGCCAGCGATAACTGCAACTTCTGAGGGTTAAGACAGCACATAATAAACGCTGGCGTACGTGAAGCTGCTCACTATGTGCATGAAAAAAATCCAATTGTACTCGTCCATTTTTTCCCCCTTTGGTATGTTTCAAGCCTCTGGGCCATCATAAAAAGGCTGAGAAGAATTCATACTATTCTCATAATGTGCTTTTGAATATTGTCTTATTCATTTCTCCCCTTATGTCTTGACTCAAAAGTGCCATGGTAACTGTTAAAAATATTTACGCTGCACAAACACTGGTGCACATGAACGTTCCTCGCCGCTGTTGACTCAGGACCACAAAAGGGGATGACGCTTTGTCATGCAAGTGCTATCAGAAGTTACACCTCCTCGTCCTGCACCTCAAACAGGCAGTGGTAGCAGAGGCCAAGCCTGGAGACGGGCCAGCTTTGACCTCCAGCCTGTCCTCTACACACCTAGCTGTGAACACCTTCAAACGTAGCTCAGTAGCCCGCCATGCACACACTCACACACACATACACATGAACGTATACACAAACATGCCCCTCTTAGCTCACACTGGCATGGAGTGAGCATCCACTGTGGGAGCCAGTAGGCTTGAGAAAAACCGACCCAACCCAGCCTGGCTTTCTTACTCACACTCGCTCTGTAATTTTGACAGAAATGAGGGCTCAGAAAAAAGAAACGTGCAGGGTGAGAGAACTTGAAAGCCATGGATGGTTGCATCTGACTCAAAACATACACTGCATCTGATAGCTTTGATAAGGATTGTCCAAAACATAGAAATAAACGGGAAAACATAACATTTCAAGACTTGTACAAAGAGCTTGGCAAGAAAGCTTACCGTCAAGATCCTCTGGCCTGGTTAGGTCAATGACTCTTTGCCCAATCTTGCCATCTTCTCCCAGCTTTCCCAGATGATGGCCCAAACTTTCAAAATGAGCTCTCTCCTGCACACAACAAGAAAAAAGATAATGAATAAGAAAGTCAAGCTATATTAGTAACTTATTTTGACGCTATCTTTTTTTTTTTAAAAAAAGCGTTTTTGAAGTGTTTATTCTTTTACACCATTTACAAATTGCAGCTGTGCTTTACAGTTTGTGAATATTTCATGACGAATGGCCTGATAAAAGTAATAATAGTCTAAAATTACTCATAAAATCCTTTTATAGATTCAGCTTTTTCCCCCTTCTCCTGTAAAGTCACCAAAGTTTTTTGTTACGACAATGATGATTCATCTCTGAACTTTCTACAGAGGAAAAACATCATTAGGATTAATTCAGCATATTATACAACTTTACCTGCACACAAAATATTAATCATTACATGTGTATGTATTCTAAGCACAAATAAAAGACACACTGTCCATCTGCGGGTTTTGACATGCTCAAGTCATTTCCCCTTTATCATCTATGTATTCATTCACTCCCTTCTTCTGTGGGGACTTGTGCAGATAACAGTCAGGAACACTAAAAGCTCTCACTGGTAAAAAAAAAGGCTTTAAAACAACACGGCAAAGGATCTTGTGCACACAATGGGGCTTGGGACCTCTAGCAAAGCACTCAGACTTCTTTTTTTCCTTCCCCCTTCCCCTATAATCTTTGCCGTGTGCTCGCGTCTGTCTTGGGCATCCTGAGCTCCCTGCCTATCATTTATTCAGAGCATGTGCTTTAAAGAATACACCGTGTTTTCCCTTTTGTTGTGTTGCTTTCTGCTCAGATTAAACTTGGCATCATGTCGTATTTGACACACAATGAAACCCTGTCATTCATGCGCCGGAGCGACAATATTAAATGTCATGTCCGCGCGTACTGACGGAATAAAATAACAGCTTTCGGGGGGCCCCTTCTGAATAGTCGCCGCACATTACACTTAATGTATTATGCAGAGGAAGAGGGGCCGACCGCTGCTCGGGCCCCATTGTTAAATGACCTAGTTCTGCCGGGAGTGCGCCGGGGCATTAGCAGAGCCGTTGCTTCTTCTCTAAAGACCTGAGGAGGAGATGGACACTTCCACTCGGCATGATACAAATAATCTCTCCCTCTCCGACGGCTCAAAGGCGGTGGAAAAGTGGCGTGCTTCTGGCAATTCAGCCTAAGAGCATTTGTTTTACTCCCAGGGAGAAGCCATTCGATTCATGGCCAAAAAGGTGCAATGGCCTGTCTTTCTTCCTCAGCCCCCCTCCGGCCCCCCTCTTCTCTCCCGAGAACACCTATCATGCACGTTTTGAACGGACACCCAGGTGGGCTCCCAGCACAATGCTAACAGCTCTTCATGCACACACGGGAAGAAACAGACACCGACGTGCACATTAATCTTTCAGCTGCCAAAATCTGACTGTTTCGCTCATTTGTTTGTTTACACCTCTTTATCGTACAAAACCCACCAGGGAGCCGGCGTGGTGGGGTTGTTTTTTTACGCAGCAAAAGATTATTACCCGAGCTCGAGTCATAACAGTCCATTGTGACAGCGGTTCTGCTAGGATGGAGCTGTTACATCTGCTATACTTTCAAACACACTTTCGGTGCAACTCAAGATGTTTAAAAAGTAAAGATAACAGAACGCAGTCCTCTGATACTGTGTGTATTTTTTGGACTTGAGAACGTGTACTTGCAAACGAAGACTTTTGTTCATGCACTAAGGCCCACTAGGATAAAAAAATATTACTTCAATTAAACTCTTAAGCCATCTGTGCACTCCAGTCCTCTGCATGTTTCTATTTTTATTTATTTAGAAACTGAATTGCAAAAAAAACTAAAGCCCGAATCAGTTTGTGTGTGTGTGAACAGCAATTTCCCATCACGCTTGAAGGAACAATCATTATTTATGGCCATCAGATGTACAATTAACCGATACCTGCTTATAGGTTCTCATTAGGAACTGCCTGTCTTGACCATGCTTTGCTTACTTAAGTGTTTTCTAATTATGATATACGCGGCAGTTCCCACTGGCCCCGGGCGGCTTTGCAAAGACAAGATGGAGCGCCACGCTCTGCTCACAGTGCCTCGCTCTGTGTGAAGCCTCCTACGCCACTGTATTCATCACCAGACCGCATTATTGCACTTAATGAAAGGAGCACACAGCCCCCGATGACAAATTGACGGATGCGCGATTAGTTGGACAAGGAACCGGCGATGCACGGTGGATGCTTTGCCGAGGGAAAGGATGGACAACGGGAGTTTGTGTATGTGTGTGTGTGTGTGCGCATAGCAAGGGGGGGGGCTGTAATAAATTAGCTGCTTCTTCCCTCCCCCACGCTCAGCTGGCCCTCTCTGATCAATCAAGTGCTTTTATAAACTCATGATCATTAAGCATCATGTAGGACCTGAGATGGAAAAAGAACAAGCGCCATCCATCACAGAGTTTCATTAATAACTGCCTGAGCGCTAAACTTTCCCCGCTGCACAGAGAAATAATTAAAGAACAAGTCAACAGGGAGCAATTGTACATGAAGGAGATTACATCTTTATCTCCGCACCTCGGACTCGTCAGTCCATTTAACCAGAGCACAGAGCTGGTTCAGTCGTGACTGCAGGATTACAACTACCCGGAGACAACTGGAGCTCCTGTCTTCAGTCTGGTTAGGGTGCATTAAAGAGAATGCAATCGAGGGAGTGCTCCAGGACAGTGCAAACGAACATTAGACTAAATGTGCATTGCCTGAGCAAACTGTATTTCCATTAAATTTTACACACTATGTTTTATATACTTATTGGTTATAACTAGTGTAATTTATGTTGCAGCATTAGTATTATAGTAAAAATTGCAGAAATAATTTATACGCACAACATCAGACTTTTTGTTCGAAGGCTAAAGAAAAAAAAACTATCAAACTATCGTAACTTTACTACTGGCTGCATCAAGCGGCGTGATAAATTAATGGCATTTTTATTATTTTATGGTGTCATTAAATTTTTACTGATCACTCAGCCACAGAAGAGCAATAAAGGACGTACAGTATCCTGGGACGGGCCTGTCCAGCCAGGCAGATAGTCAAGCCCACAGCTCTGTAACCAGCATGCTATAAAGGATATTTATAATGTGCATTACACCAGCAAGATGGCAGAAACTCCACCTCTTCACGAGTGAAAAAAGAGACAAGAAACTGAGGGAGAGTAGGAGAAGGCAAGAGGAAAGTAAAAACAAGAGTGAAAGAGATATAAAGAGAGAGAAAGAGAGGAAAAGCAAGTGAGAGAGAGAGAGAGAGAGAGAGAGAGAGATAGAAACAATATAAGAAAGAAAAGATGTCGTGGTACACTGTGCACCCCTCCCATCTTAACCGCGACTTCTCTGGCACACGGCTGGCTCTTCCCTCAAATGCGTTCAGCATGCAGCCCTTCCACCCCACATCTAAAATTATAGCCACACACTCCAAGGCTGAAGTGGAAAAAATACACCCACAATAATCCCCCCCCCTTTTTGAAATTTGGTTCCTGAACACGTTTTGTTTCGACAGTAAAATGGTTGCACGGTGAAGTAATGACACAGAATGGCAGAGCCGCTGGAACTTCTGAACGGCTGGACAGGGGCCAGCGCCGGGAGCCCGTGTCAGCACTGCAGCGTGTGCTTTAATCAGGCCAGCCGCAGAACATATGCCAGAGGACTCGCAGTGGCCTGGGGCTGGAGCGCATTGTGCCGGTGGCTAGTCTCTACTTATGCGTTGTGCTGCCGCACCGTGACGCTCGCCTTCTTCCAGTATAAATAGGCCCAGCCCAGGCCATATGGCCTCAGCTCACTCCAGCAGGGCCCATCCAAGCTCCAGATAATGCCAATTGTGAGGCAATTTTAGGCCTCACCTTAGGTCACCATGTCCACCGTGTCTTTGAAAGACAGAAAAAGAAAATACAAACTTAATTTATTTCTCTGGTCACTTAAAGCAACCACAGAACGGCAGCCGAAGTATCGATGCGTTTGAGCATAAATGAATGACCTTGACAAGCACAAAAGAGTGGAGTTTAGTAATTCGCTTTTGTTGTTGCCCAGGTGCATGAGGCTAATATCATGACAGGCAGAATGAAAAGGACACAAACGATAAAGTATATGACAGCCCACTGCATAACTGTTCATGTCACGTCCTTGCCTTTGCGCTGAAAGCAGAGAATGCAGTATTATTGCCTCCACACCTGGTTGAGAGTTCGACGAGCACCGTGGCAGATAATGGAGGGCTTTGTAAGGACCGTGGCAAGGAGTGCCGACAGAACAGAAACAGCAAGTCGCTGCTTTCAGCCTCCCTGAAAGCCTGCGGTAGTCCTCAGCCTATGCACGCTGCTTAAGCGAAGTAACTTTGCTCCGACATCCATTTCTCCCCTCGTATGCTTTTAATTTCTATTGTAACTAATCGCCATGTTATTTATAACCATGTAGCTTTCCAGTAGTCTCTCGTCTGGCCTTAAGCATATGTACTAGTGTGGTAAGCTTGGAGCTCCTTTCATGTGGTCTTTGGACCTTTCTCCACGAATCAGCCCTCCATGCTCCAGAATCCCAGGCTGGTGGTGCAGGCAGTAGGCAGAAAGGACTGAGGCCAAGCCCTGCCTCTATAGGTCAACACTTAATCCCAGAATAATGTTTCTGGGCTTCGGCCTCCAGTTCCCAGGGAAGCTAGGGAATCAGTCACGTTTATGTTGAGAAGAGGGGCAGGGCTGCTTCTCACTCCAATCAGGCAGCGAAACTGTACTGGCACGTCACAGAGAGAGAGAACCCTGGCTGTGGCATGATGAGCTTTTATGAGCTTTCACTTTCCAGCTTGCTTTCTATTTGGAGCGAGGGGATTCTGCAGCCAGTAATGCTATGATTGTGCATCGGGCTGACAACTTCGACTCGTTTATAGAGAGGGAACAAGAAAAAAAAGAAAAAAAAACAACTTTCGCCCACAACATGTGACCTTTCAACTTTCATGGGGAAATGATCCGTTTTATTCATGGCCATCTCAGCTCTGTACGGTCTGTCTCCAGCTCTCTGTTTTCATTCCATGCTGCGTTGAGATCATTTGCTCAGGCTTTTTTATGGGCTTCCAGCTCTAAATGACCCTGAACTGTTCACTGAGTCCTCAAGGATCTGTTAAGAGGGACTTCACTTTCTTTCCCCTTATCGCACAATCCATTTACAATAATGGAACAACCCCAGAAGACAATCTAGACCACATGATCAGGGAGACAGAAGGGCCTTTATGCACCCATTCCGAGAGGATCTATCCCAATATGGCGGGGCATAAATGACCCATTGTGGCCTATTCTTTTGCCTGCTTTGTTGTGGGCTCTCTGCTGTAAGCAGAGCCGGGTAGGTCCAGAGCACAGGGGCTTGTTAGATTTTGGAACTGCGGCCCTGCTTCGGCTGTCTGTGATTTTACGCAGCCACAGTGCAAAATCGGGAGCCATCAGCGGGGAGTTGAGAGCTACTCATGTCTCGCTAAAGACACACAAAAAGGGGGCAAAAGTATTGTTTCAGATTCCAGTCTGGGACATGTGCCCACCCACACACATACACATAAGCCTGCAGCCTAAGTGAAAATGACCCTGTCTATTTTTATTGCGTGGCACATTCAAACAATTGGTCTAAAGCATTAATGTGAGCAATACTCAACAATGACATTTGCTGGCTATGGCCAGTGGCTAAGTGCTGCATATAATCAAATTTTGGACGGCCAAACCCATGTATGGCAGGATTTACTTATGTGGCCAAAAAAAAAAAAATTCCCAGGCTGGCAATTTCCAAGACAGCAGCAGAAAAAGGAGCAGAAAATTGCTTCCAGGGCTGCAGACCAGACAAGATTATACTCCTGGCCTTTGTGAGGGCCTGCCTGAATAGTACTCCAATGTACACACAGGGAAATGGGGCGCACGTTGGCTCCCACATCCAAAAGGTACTGAGTGAGGATTTTGAGGAGGGTGGGCAAAGCTCCATTTTGACTGTTGGAGGCCCTCTCCTCTGCGCTGGGAGGACAGTGAATGTTCCTGCTCATCAATAATGCAGAGGAGAGGAGGGGGTGGAGGGTGCAGACGCTCAATAGGTTAATACACTGGCCTTTCACCTTTTTGATTCCGGTTTGGGAAGTGTCAGCAGAGGAATACATTTTAGTTCCTCACCGTATGCTCTGCTCAACTGCATCAGCTGTTGGCTGATTAGCACTGAAAATATCAAACTTTAAAATCTCCTACAGCTATGAAGGTTTAAGAGCAATGGGGAACTTTCACTTTGATCGCTGAAAAATCAGACAAAACACGTTCAGGGTTTTTACAGAAGCAGACATGCTACTCGAGACAGGGATCATCACAATAGGACAGGAAGAGAAGACATAAATCAGCATCGTTCAGCTGCAAACCTCAAAATGGATCTTGAAAAGTATAACTGGCCATTCAGCGCTGTTCGACATAAAAGCATCAGAAAGGGAGATAAATAATAGAATAAAGTAATTGCCCTCCGCAGAAAATAATACATTTTAATAAATATTTGAGAAAAAGTAAATTGTGAGAGGGTCCATAAAAGCTTTTCTTTCTCTTATGGGAGAAAAGAGAGAAGAAAAAAGGACAAATAAAAAACAAGCGGGTAAACACGGTTCACTAAGACATGAATATTTTACGTGAGCACCTAGAGGACAGGAGCTATAAAGGCAGAGACTCTTTCACCTCAGAAGGCGGTGGTGAGAAAGAAAAAAGACGAGTGTCCACATATAGACAGGACGGCCTGAGAGAGAGGAGAGAGACTGAGAGAGAGAGAGGGAGAGGGTTGAGGGTCGCCGCATTGTGCTCTTCAGACACACTTTGTATTAAAAGATGAATTGATCCATCTGTAAGCAGCACTTAGCCCCACTCTCTGGCTCGGTCGTTACACTGGGATAAATCAATATTTAATATCCCCCTCCAACAGCCCCAGTAGATGATTTTAACCTCTCCTTAATCCCATTTACCTTACCTTTCCAGAATCGTCCATGCAAGCTTTCACTGTGATAAACTTCCAAACAGTCGACTGGGAGGCAGATATTAAAGCAGCGTCCAGTATTTATGTCAGGTGAGGCGATAAACTGAAATATTAATATTCTGAAACGGAGCAAAGTGAAGGCTTTTATCTGGGACGTCTGTAGGCCTTTTTCCACCGTTGGATCCAGGCAGCGGAGCGGCCAGCGCGTGGCACCCGAGCCCAGGCTGCAGCCCGTATGTTTTTAGATTCCGTTAGTGTTGCCTGGTGCTTCAAACTGTCTGCTGGGTTTAAGATGTCTATGAAGTGTTCTAAGGTTCTGAATTGCAGTGCAGGATAGAGAGTACTACAAAGTTTTCAAAGGCCTAAATGAGGTCTTACTGCTGCTTTCATTAGTAATTAGCTAAATGTGATGAAAAGAAAAAGAAAACACGTCAAGAAAACGTCTTGTGTCAAGCTTCAGTTTGCCAGAGACATCAATAAGCCTGTTTGACTGAGCAATAGGGCAAGGAGGAGCTGTCTTTATGATATCATCAGATTCAATGTCATTTTATCCAATTCGTCTTCAGCTTAAAGGTCATAAAGCTGCTGTTCACAGAGATGCCAATGACTGAGGAAGAGAGACAGTGAGAGATAGAGAGAGGGAGAGAGAGAAAAGGGAGGGGGCAGCAAAAAAACGATGCTTGATTGACTTAAAAAAAGGGGGGAGTCTTTGCGATGTGCTCAGTTACCTATGGCAACAATGATAACTCAAACATACCAGTCATATTTTCAGACTGATAGAGCGGCTAATTATTATTTGTTGTTGCCTCCTCTGCGCTGCCAAAGCCGGGCGGATCTCGCGCCACCGGCTTCCCAGAATTACTTGCCCTTACATCAAAGTCCTCCAGCGAAAGAACATTTAACTGCAAGCCTCATGTCTTTTTTTTAAAGCAGAGGCCTAAAAGATAACTTCGGGGCAGGGGGAGAGAGGTGCGGAGTGACGAGCTGCTTCTAAATGGATCTTCCCTCTGTTTAGGAAAACACAGCGCTTACCTGAGCTCCACACCTAAAGAAGTGGCTGAAAAGATGGGGCCTTGGCATAGGCTGGGAACAAAGCCGGAGTCAGACAAAAGAGGGGCAAAAAAGCGCTAAGCTTTACCTGCTAAGAACAATGCAGGCATAGGTGTGTACTGCCTGTTGACAAGTGTTCCTATTCAGCCATTGTTAAGAGTGAGGTATTCGTGTCATGTAGCGGCATATTCCTCTGGCTGGTTGACCATGAGCTAACCCCAGAGTTTGGGAGGTGTGGAGCAGGAGAATGAGTGGAAGGTGGAAAGGGTGTGGAGACGAGCAAGCGAGAGAGAGAGAGGGAGAGAGAGAGAGGGAGAGAGAGAGAGAGACACAGACACAGGTGCCGGCTATGCACTCACATACCATATCCACCTCTGTAGCAGGCGAACAAAGGCTCAAAAGACCTAGAAGAATAGCAGATAATACTGCAGCTTAAGCGCTACCTCCAAAAAACTCCCCTTATAATGCTACCCATATAAAACAGAGCATTGTGCTCAAGAAAATACGATTTTGGCTCTTGCAATGCTGCCGTGGGGTGTAAAGAAGAAAATTGCTATTGAGAAAAAGCAACAACAGCAGAATAAATGGCATTCTCCTGGGAATTCACTGATGACTAAAGGGATACTTAAGCTTTTAGCCAAATACTCATATTATCTGGTCTTAAGAGTGGAGGCTGAGCAATTGTGCTATAGTCTTGCCCTGTTTTGAGGACACATTTCAGCCTCTGCTGAGTGCTGTGCCACCCACACTGGGACACATGTCTTCAACCCATTTGCCCCTACTTCTCAAGTTGATTAAAAAATAGTCCCCCTTGCTTTTTTACATATACATTGACCTACTTTAAGATGTTGGTTGAAAGTAATCAGGTGCTAAAATATTAATGACACTCCACTCCCAGTTCCTGCCTGCTTCTCGCAGCCAACTGGCAATATGGCATCAATCAGATGGGAGTGGGTAGAGTTTTTTTCGTTCTTGATTGACTCATTGATTGAAGATATTTTTAAAGGGAATCCCTGGGAGTCTGTTTGCTCCTGGTACAAAGCGGGCCTGTCCCACACCGGGGGCCTGAGGAGGCTGCCTGTCTGCTTTAATTGGGCTGAGACATCACAGTTTGAACCCGCTCAGGGCAGCACCGGCGGACCGGCGGATGGCCCTTACACACACACACACATATGCAAACCTACTCTAACGCGCACAAACATGGGCTTGCACTATCGACCATGCCAATGTCAATCAAAAAGAGTCCTCTGGACCTCCATCAAAGACAAATTAGGTTTTTTTAAAGATCTTTTAAAAGCATAGTGGACAGAGGAGAACTTGTCCTCTATGTTCAGTTTCCTTTCTACTCTTAATGAAACACTGAAGTGGCCTTGTTCGGACACAAAGCGATGGTACATTCAAGAATAGGGCCTATTTAAAAAGTGGACACTGCTTATTTGATACTTCAAAAGGCACAAAGCATGGGAAAATAATAAGACATGGACAAAGACAGAAAGAGCAAAAAAGAGAAGAGAATGAACAGAAAGAGGCTCACCTTGTCAGTCCTGCAGTTGTTGAGACCCAGGCTGGACAGGGCAGAGAGCTTGGCCTCCATGCCCTGTTGGTGGTGCTGCAGCTGCTCCCGTTGGATCTGTTCCTTCATCTTCCTCGCCTCCTGGATGGCCTTCATCACCGCGTCCTGATCTCCGAACAGCGCCGTGGAGTTCAGGTTGGATAGGATGTCTAGGAGGGCATCACACATACACACGAGTTAGAAAGTAAGCAATCATAAAGTCAAAGGTAGAGCCTGTTTAGTGAAAGATACACTATGGGAGGTCTGGTTATCAGCTCTTCATATCTGTACATCCACCATGTGTTTACTGTACATGTGGCACACACGGAAAAATAAGGCAGCAATCTTGGTGTGTGTGACGCCTTTCTGTAATTAGTGGATCAAAGCGAGGTGAGGCTGGGTGGCAGTTAAAACTCGGAAATAGAACAAAAACAAACACCAAGTCTACGTTTAAGGTCTACGTTTAAACAAGAGAAGAAAGGAAATGAATCTAGTTCAACTAAATGGTCCCGATTTAATGAAAGACTGTTTTTAGCAAAGTTACTTGTAACTTCCGAAGAAGGCTTAATATGAGAGATGAAGCTGAGAGCTTTGAAAACAAATTGTCAGCGCCACCATCCGTCCCCCTTTACTAGGCTGGCTCTAATGGCAAGGTTTGAATGAGATTAAGCGATGTGGTTGTGTAAACAGCTCCATGTGCTCTGAGTGAGTTACAGTTTGGTGCAAGAGTGGTATCATACAACAAAGGATCAGGCCAGCGTAATGCCCATTCATAATTATGAACTAGGGCCCAATGATATGAACATTTGGTTACTGATACTGATTTTAAGGAGCTAAAAATTCCAGTTAATGATAAGAATTTGATCTTAGTTTGCTTATCAGTGCTTATCATTCACCAATGTCAAATTTTCTTAAATATGTATTAACAGCGGAAAAGTCTTAAATAACGTAAATATTGTAGGACAAGTGTGGGGCTTCCCAGCCTTTTGTTGTTTCCAATCATTCAGCTCATATTTACGGTGGCCAGATCATATCCACCACCCAGTGTATTGGTTTGATTATGAACATGAACATTATAAAGATGTCATTAATTTTAAATCCAAATTGGAAATATATACAAAGAGAAAAAAAGGCAAATGTTTTATACTGACAAAAAAGGGCACCTCCAGACGTGTAAGACCCTTACCTAGGGATGAGCCACGGCCCAGACTTCCGAGGGGGCTGGGGATGCTGCCACTCCTGGGCAGGCTGTTGGGGCTGCTCTTGCTGCCAGGGAACAAGCTGTGTGTGGGGGACGTGGGGGATTTGACCGGCTCAGCCGTCTTGGGCCGGGCAGAGAGGTTAAGGGGCTGAGTTCCCTCCTCCTGTAGATATGAGAAACACCGCTAAATAGAGAGAAGGCCCACAGAGAAACACCCCCCACCTTAGCCACAGAAAATAATGCTTCTGCGGCTAATACTGCAGATTAATTAGCCTAACTCCTCCAAGAGAAGGATTGTGCATTCATAGCCAGGCTCTGTGCCATGCTGAAGCTCCTCTGTGTAGCGAGGCCAGGCTTTGTTCAGACTAATTAAAGCACAGTGTGTCTCTCTCTGTACATCTCTATCTCCTCACCTGCTCTCAGCCTGAGAGACTACGGCGAACCACTAATGCGGTCCATTGTAAACAAAGCCTGTGAGGCGATTACAGTTGATAACGCTTGTTATCGGGGAATGATGTGTGGTAATAACACAGGACCGTGAACTGTGCGGGTGTTCCGTGAGTGTTTGATCATTAGGGTGAATGAGATACGACCATGAAGCACGGGCGAGCATAACAGGCACGACAAATAATAAGTGAATGAAGTATTATCCGTCCTGGACTAACTTTTGGCTGGACATTCATAAAAGACTGGGGTCTGACTCACCACCCCACCATAAAATAGCAATGGGCTGGCAGTTTCAATGATGTCACAAAGAATTTTATCTGTCGTCTTGTGTACTATGAACTGACTGGGTCTTAAGAACTCTTATTTGGCAGCGAGTTGCGCTGTCCAAACAGATGGGCCACATACTGAACACTGCCTCGAGCTTCTTGAAAATCTGACTGCCAACAACAGTTTGTCATTCAATTACCCTTTAAGTAGACAAACAAAACAGATTGCCAGTTAATTAAGCACAACATATCTGCATATGGAGCTAATGGTGCAAAAAGCAGTCTGTATCGTTGATCAACATGATTAAAAAGATTACGTGGCTCAAATAATGAATGTCATCTAAACAAATGGAATCAAATGAAGACAAATGAGCTCTGAGAAAGGTGGTGTCAGTGTCTTTGAGAATGTGCTTAGAGTAGAAATCATTCGAGTCTGGTCTTGGAGAGGCAGTGGGCTGGTGATGTGTATCGGCATTCTGCTGAAGCCATGTTCTAAAATCCTGGTGAAACCTGCTTTAGCCAAGCTGAGGATCCCAGCCCTACACACAATTGCTGCTCAGCATGCTGATTTATCCTCTGCTCTATTGTGATATTAAACTAAACTTTTCCAAATGTGCACATGTTTTAAGTTACAGCCACAGAGAGAAAAAAGATGATGTATATGGCTTCTAGTCAAAGCTGAGGGCTGGTGGCCTCCTGCCATGTACTGTAGCAGTCCTAATGTTGGTCTTACTTAAAAAAAAAAACACACACACAAAAAAGAAAGAGTCATCACCAAATTTCAACCTCATCGATATATATGGCCTATTATAAGCCTTTGACGTAATCTGGCTTGGTTCTCTCCACACTGGGCAGGATGAAGAGAGCGAAAAAAAGCAGTCCAACCACGTGTTCCTAATGACTCTCCGGGTGCACACAGAGCCATAGCAACCCTGTCCACAGAGTTCTGCATGAGGAAGCGAAGGCCTTGTAAAAGCCAGTACAGATTGATGGGCTCTGCGGAGAGGTGGCCTAGCTCTAGACGCTACAGTAACGCTACCTTCCACGGCTGATTTAGTTAAGCAGAAAGCTGGAGAGGACCGGGTCAAGCACCACTCCAGCAGGGGCCGTACCTTGACTTGGGTAAGGGGGCTGGAGGATCTCTTCTCGCTCTTGGGGCCCGGTGAGAGGGGCCCGGCCGAGTTGGGGGGCTGTGGCAGCGGCGGCATCTTGGCTCCTGGTGAGAGCTGCATGCTGGCCAGCTGGGCAGCGTACAGTTGCTGCAAGGAGGGAGAGAAAAACCCACAAGGCGTTAACATCCAAAGCCAGCCACCATTCAAAGCCCCTTTTTTCCCCTCTCCCTCTTCCTCTCTGTCTCTCCTTCACGTCTTCCTCTCTTTCCATCCTGGCACAGAAGCTCCATCAAAGATCTTAACTGTATATCAAAGCCCGAGCCTGAATCCAGAGAGAGAGACAGAAGCCCTGAAAACCGCACAGCAATGGCAAGGATACAAGACCAAGAGCCACTTCCCCCCCCACTTTTTTCCAGTCATCAGACAAAGTTTGCAGACTGAAGGCAAGCCTGTCCTGAGATCTGATTTCTCTCTCTTTTTCTCTCTTCCCGCGCTAGGCTCTCTCTGGTTTGGTCAGCTCAATTCTGAGTCTCATACGGCTCAGACACCTGAGCTGCCCTGCTACCAGACAGCACACGTACCATCACCCACAGTTACACAAACTCAGCCCAGTCAAGTTTCCATGACACACATTATCAAAGGCATTCATTAAGACAGAAACCCAGACAAAGAGAATTCATGTCACTTTGCTTATTTTCATTGGCTATGACTCCCAGGCCTCCTCTGGCATCAATTGTACAAATTAAGCAGGCGGGCTATGGGCTGCTAAACCTCGCAACGTCAATCACTTATCGGTGCAGCGTTGGGAATGTGCATTTAAGCGTTTTATATTTCTGTTAGGCTGATAGTCTGTCATATCCCATTGAGTATGATTTTTATTTTACCGGTCCAATTTTAGCCACACACCAGACAGAGGGAGGAGGGAAAAATAGCAGCATCATTGAAAATCAAACCACAGCAGTTCAAATAAAAAAAGAAATTAAAAAATGCAGCCAAACGCTAACCTGCACATACAGACAAAAGAGGCCCTTTTATGTCTTGCAGCATTAACAAAAGATTGTGAATAATTGCGCTTTGTTTCCGTGCTCTCCAGTGACAGAAAGGCTAGATGCACTTCTGTTAGCCCAGAGGCTATTATTGATTAGCTAGAAGGTAAATGGTTAAATTGGCATTTGTCTCCTGCAGTAAGTAGCAGGGGTTAGACTAAATAGCCCATGGTCCCCATGACCACCACAGACTCTGGCTTAAGAATCACTCCCTACTAGAGTTAAAATGCACTATTTAGTGCATTGGCTATTTTGTAGTTGAGTTTGAATTCAAGCAGTAAGTTTAACTCCCTTTATATTGCACAGAAATCGCTGCAAACGGACTTTTTTGTGGATTCCTGGCTAGCTAATTTGTTTTGCCTGCTATCTCCGACATTCATTTAAATTCTCTATCTAGTGACACAGTGTGAGAGGGCATACTGGTGAGAAAAGGAGAAAGAGAAGAGAGAAAAAGAAAGATAAAGACATAAACTACGGGAGCTATATTACGACAGCTTGCATGTCTTCTGGTTTTCACCGTCATCTCTCCGCCACAATTCTCGTTATTTTAGAGCACAAAAAAAAAACAACGATGGGGGTTTTAAAAAACGACCGAGCACGTCTGCCCTCTCTGCTCTCATTTCCTCTCCTGAGCAGACTGCATAAGGACTCCATTTGTCTGAAATGGAAAAAGTGGCACGCAGCATTAGTGGCTGCGCCCCACCTTAGCCAGTGAGACAGAAAAACCTGGGCCCAAGACAAAGCTCTTTGTGTCCGGCGTGTATCAGAAGATATAAACACGAAAACGCTCTCCGCTGCTGAAGTTAAACGCTTGCACATTAGCGGCCCACAAAGGGGTCATTCTTCTGGGAGGGAGGGGGGCAAGCGACGGCACATGGGCAGCGGAAATGGCGGCCTGATTAGGTTCACTCAGTGATAGCAGAGACTCCCCATGCCCAGAAAACAGAACAGTCTTTGTATTCCAAAGTCACAACTACAATTACTTTTTTTTTCAATAGGCTTCTAAACTAAATATCTAAACAACAGACCTTGCCATTACTGTATTTATGTAACGGATGATATCTTAAGAGTCTGTTTGTGTGTATGTGTTTGCAGTCTGTTGGGCAGATGTTTGTTAACAGTGTGGCTGCTGCGGATGGGTAAAAAGACCCTGACCTTGCATGGGAAGAACTTTATTGTTCCGGAAAAGCAGCATAATTGGCTTTTGATTCAAATTAGAGCCAGTCAGGCTGTTTTTTTGTGAGGCCTGATGCAACAGTGTGAGGATGTAAAGGCATGACACTGGGCGCTACAGTAGAGAGAGGCACCCGCACCCACTCCAAAGCTGCAGTCACACAAGAATGTTACATTTTGCATTGCCTTGTGAAACAGCTGTGACCAAGGCTGGACAAAAAGCATTGTTTCTTTTTGGTGTAGTTCGGTGCAAACTAGCTAACTTACTGTACAAATGCCTGCCCTTCAGGTCAGGTTAACACAGCCAAAGCAGTTGTGCTACTAGTCGACAATGCAAATTTGCTGGTGAAGTTCACCAAAACGGAACATGATGTGAAGTTTTACTCTGAAAGTCTGCAAAGCTAAACTATTCACTGCTGCAAAAACTGCAATGAAATGATTAATTTGGTCCACAAACTTTCATTGTGAAAGGCCAGTGTGACTGTTAGTGGACACTAACAGAATGAAAAGCAAGCATGACAGTAAGAGAGTGGATTTGAATTGAGAGCAAAAGAGCAAATGCAGGCTGCTGTATGGTTAGCTTGACTGGCGTGTGGAGGACACATGCCTAAATCCCTGGCTGAAGGGCAGGCGCAAGGCAGGGGCGGGGGCAGCCCCCAGTGGAGCCGCCGCCCTTCTGCTCTTCCCTACTGTCCAGCAAGGGCCTCCATGGCAGAAGGGGCTAGCGGTAATGAGGGTCATGCTGAAAGTCAATGGCCGGACAGGGAGCGGACAGGCGGGATGCTCTGGCTCTGTGCCCCGGGCACCTCAACACGGCTGAAATGAGAGGGATCAATTCTACACTTCACCACCAAACAACCCCAAAGCCCTGCCTTTAACCTCTTTCTCCATCTTCCTTAACAATCACAACTGCATCAACAGTCTTTCACATAGGAAACAACTGTGTTAGGCAGGAATTAGAAATAAATTACTTAAATTTTGCTGTAAGGCAACGAGTTTTAAAGTCACAATGCTCCTAGTGTTAGATTTTGACAGATGACGGATGAAAGATCCCATATTAAGCAGAGGTAGCTTTATAGAAGCACATCCTATTAATAATGTCATGGAAATTAACATAGTGCATGTTCCAGTGTGGAATTGTACGAGCGGATAAAAGTTTCCTTTCTCTTCTTTTCCACTGCTTTTCAAAGCCTGACTTTTCGGGCTCTCCCTTTTCCGGGAGCTGACGGCGTTCAGGGGTCCAGCCCTGTGACTTCTCTGGAGGATCCTGTTATGTCTACCCAGTTTCTTGAGACATGGACAAAAGACATGCACTTAATGGTCCTGCAGCAGCAATGCTGAGCCTATTCTTTCACCCCAGCTCACCCACACACTGTAGTGTAAGAGAAACAGTCATACAGCGCAGCAGAGAGCTATTACAGTGCGTGCTGAGGCTGTTAGCTCAAGGGAAAAAGGAGCCGGTTGGGACAGCGAGATTGGCCTGGAGAAAGAGAGAGAGAGATGCTGAGCTGCCCTCCGTGTGCAGTTTCAGTACAGCTTGCAGAGAAAGGCCTCGATCCACCCCAGTGACTCAGGTAATACCTTTGTCCACTTGAGCATTAAATGACTCTCTGCTCTACAGCTTAGTTAGAGAGAGAGAGAGAGAGAGAGTGAGAGAGTGAGAGAGTGAGAGAGAGATGGGGTGGGGGGGTAGTAAATGGGGCTTTTTCAATTCTTTTGCCTCACCTGCAGCCCTTACACCCCACATTCAGTGAACACTACCCCTTTCTCCCTTTCTCCCTCGCGCTCTCTCTCTCCCACACGAAGAGAACCCATCTCCTACATGGATTCCAAATGGGCGAGGTCTTAGCTCAAGGTCAGCCTGTTAGCCTCTGGTAATTAAAACCAACCCCTCTGGAGAGGAAAGAGGTTAAACGAGCAGCTGCACTCTTGCTGCCTGCCACAACATTATCTGCAGATTACCCCTACTCCAACCTTTTCCAATCTCAGGTGACTCTGCTGGGCACATCAGCATTGTGCTCAAACACCAGAGCCACTTTTCCATTCGAACATCGTGGGACTTTGCTTTGATCTACAGCTTCTCGGCCTAAAAGTAAGCAAAAATACAGTACTACGCACATCTTGTATGTCTTGAAGCACCTCTGAAAGTCTTTCGCGTCCTAATTTTAAGCTTTCAGCAGCAGGACGGACTAGAATGTTCAAGTGTGTAAAAAGGCGAATCTAAAAAAGTTACTAGAAAGTGACTTTGACCATGTGATCACACACGGAGGGCAAATAAGCCATCAGAAAAAGCAGATGCGGGTTTGTTCTTAAAGAGAAGGACAGACTGCACTGTGGCAGATGTTCAGAAATACAGTGGCAGATTTAGCAAAGCCCAGAGCTCCAAGCCATAATGGTGCATTACCCTCTCTCTCTCTCTCTCTCTCCCTCTCAAAGACCCCAGCCTGAACTCTATAAAAGTGAAAAGATCTCTACAGAAGACCATAGTTAGTCTGCCACATTAAAAAAAAAAAAACCTGAGCTTATGTTTATGTTTATGTATCTCTTCCTTATAGACACAGCTGAGTGCAAGTGAGAGAGTTATTGCTGCATGGTTGATTCTGCCATCAGGCCAGCAGTAGGGCGGCGGCTGCCCTGGTGCCCGTTTGCCACGCAGCTTGTCCAGGCTGAGTGCCCAGGGCTGCAAGGCTGACCCAGGCTGGCCCAGATGTCGGGAGGAGAAGCAGCGCGCTCTGCTGCACTGCGCCGATGCTTTCCAGTATGGTCCAACATCTGTTTCATCTGCTGGCACCCAACCTGCTCCCCCGTCTCCCCTCCCTCCCCATCTTCCCTTCTACTCCACCCCCTCCCCTCCCCTGTTCTCCTCAGCTTCTTGCTTTTTTTCTTCTGTCTGCCTTCGTTTTTGCTGTCCCACTGGGCGACAATGTC